GAGAGAGAGAGAGAGAGAGAGAGAGAGAAAAAAAAAACTGCACGTTTGGTTGTTGAGTTGAGCGTGGAGAAACAGTTATGCATCTGACTGTAGCTCATGATCAGATACACTCAAGGATATGAATGTACACAGAGAGAGAGAGAGAGAGAGAGAGAGAGAGAGAGAGAGAGAGAGAGAGAGAGAGAGAGAAGAGGTAAGTGTCCAACCTCGGGGCCCTTGAAGATAGATCCGTCGTCCTCGTTTGGCACCGGAATAGCCTCGAAGAACGAACTTCACAAATCAACATAGCCCTTGCTGTTGCCACCACTGTTGTTTGCAGCACGTAGTAGTTGCATGTTCCAGCGGATGTACACCAACTTCTCCAATGTTTCGGGCTTCAAGTTGTTCCTCCCTTTGGAATGCACGAAGTCCATGGATGGCCAATTCCTCTCAGTTGGGGTAGCCGTACTCCACATGCCCATTACTTTGATGGCAATGGCCTGCAAGTCGGGGACATCGCCGCCATAAGTCGCCCACCACTCGGTCGGGGCGAGCTTATCGCAATCACCCTTTGCATTGGGCTCCCACATCTTCGTGTCCTCTCTCTTGGGCCCGTTCGGCATGGGCTCCTTGTGGAACTCGTGCAGGTCACCCAAAACCTCAAGGTGGTCTGGCCCTTTCCAATCACCCGCAACGTTTCTCTGCAGGTAACGCATCTCGTTATGCACAAGCGCATTGTTCCGATCATAAAGCCACAACGGATTTCTCCTGTGCGGGTCTAGAATAAATGCCCGTGCATGGACTGGCTGCCGCATCATCTTCACACGATCTTTGGCTTTCTCCATGATGCTCGCCCGCTGCTCCTCAGTGAGAACGACGTGAGCAAGTTTCCTTTCAATCATCTCGTCATATTCAACGAGGTTTGTTGGCGCTGTTCCATCCTGATCCATCCTCCTCAGAAGGTTGCACAACGGTTCCATCACGTCAACCACCTTCTTCAACTCCGTCCACCAACCATCTCTCCTCAAGGTGAAGTACACCAGGTCCGCTTTCGACTTCAACCTTGCAGTGGACCAACACATCCCCACCTGCCGTGCTACATTTTTCCGATCCACCATATCCTTCAACACTGCCCTCCTGTTGTGAAGCCTCTCCAACATCATGTACACTGACCCGAACCGAACTTTCGTGGGCCGAAGCAATGACAAGGAATCGTCGAAGGACATCATCAGGATGTGCATGCAGTGGTGGTTCCGGATGAACTTCACAATCGTCCAGTCCATCTTGTTGGCGTCTCACAGCAAAAGGTTGCAACAATGCGCAGCGCAAGGAACCCATGGACCCTTGCAATATCTTTGTCAGTGCGGCGCTAAAAAACCTGAGCAACCTTCTTGTTCACCTCGGCATTGTCGGTGCAGATCGCGTTGATGCAATGCACCCCTATCTCCCTCATAATCTACTCCCACAACCTTGCCAACGCCGATGCTGTTTTCTTCCTTCCGGTCATTGACACTGTGGCCACCAGAACTGCACCTTTCTCCCCTGCTGCCAAGAAGTTCATGGCAGGGCGCTCTCGACAGTTGGATGACCCGTCTGTGATAAATTTACAGCTAGTTTCATCCCAACAGGCCGTCAAAGGATGCAGTTGCTTTTGAATACACAAGTAGATGAAGTCAAACATCACAGTTCTCATATGCTTGTACGAGGGCAGGTTCACCTTTGGTCGCGCATTTGCCACTTCCAAGTAAACTTCGTGGAGGTTCATGTCGAAATTCAGGAAGTTGAATGCAATGCATGCACGGAACATTGCCTCCGCCCACGCAATGTCCAACTTCTTCTGTGTAGCGTTGTCCACCCATCTCTTGATTGTTGTCTGCTGCAAGTTGATGTCCCCCTCGTGTTTGACCCTGAACCTTTCGCAAGCCCCTCTTTTGCAGCGTCGACCGGCTCTGTTCGCGAAGCTGTTTTTGGTGGTGCCAACCTTGCACACCCGCAGACGACAGGCTCCACCTCCTGAGTGTTCGTAGCAGCGCCCCCCCCCTTTCGGAATGCCATACAATTGCCTGTAGTTTTTCAGGAGGTACTTTGTCTTTTTGCCGGTCCCCAACACCTTCGCACCGGCGAGCACAAGCTCGAGTACTATCTCCCCTGTCCTCATAAAATGTTCCATTGCCCTTGTGCTCGTGCCCCTCCAAATTTGCGTACATAGCCGACACTTCAGACAATACTCTCCTTGACCCTTCGGTGGGCTTCTTGACCCCGTATCACATATTTCCACACCTCCTGGACTCTCCGCAACTCCTCTTGTCTAGTGTCATCCTGAGGAACGAACAGCGAGGGGTTTGACACTGGCGTGGGCTCCTTTGCAGTCACCCTAGATGTGGGAGCACTTGTGCTCGCAGTGGCCTTTCTTTTGTCCGTCGACCATGAAGGAGGTCTCCTTCTTCTACATCCGCCACTTCCACCGCCTGCTGCAACGCCACTATTGTCGCCCGCCCATGGTGCCGTTCAACAACAAAGTGTGGGACCGCTCGCCAACAAACACCCCACGCATCCCCCTCCCCCCCCTTTCAACCCCTCGGGAAAAAAAAAAAAAAAAAAAACAACGAAGGTGGGATATGGTGGATGTCGCATACCGTAACGGTGTCGGGGGGCCGCAAGATTGGGCCTCGGGATAAGCGCCTACGGGAGAATCAGGCGGCACTTTCGTCAGAGTCCTTGGGAGAAATTAGGGGTCGGAAAGGTCTCCCTAACCCCCCCCATCATTGTTAGAACTAACCCTTCGGATCAACACAATGGACGGCCCTGCCGCGCCTAACCTCCACCATTTTCGTCCGTTCCGACGCTGTTCCCAAACTGGCCAGCCACGACACGGAGGTGTGGTAGTAGGCCTCGGCGCACCCCTTTCGCATTAAGCAATTGACGAGGGAGCAATCACTTTATTTCTATTAATTCTAACAACACAATTAAAAACGGGAAAAAAGAATTAAAATAATAAAAGGGAAAAAAACAAATAAATTTTGTTAAATAATTAAATTTCTTCAAAACTTATTTTTGACAAAATTGACCTCATTTTTCATCAATTCTAATAACGGCGTTTAAAATGAATAAAAGAAAAATAAATAATAAAAGGAAGGAAAACAAATGATTATTGATTATTTGATTAATTTTTGGCGGGATTTATTTTTGATGGGGTTTTGCCGGGTGCAAGGAAGATGAGCATTAGCGAACTTTGGCAATCAAACAGCATCATACATATGAGCCCAGATAGTCTTGACCTCGAACCACAGCAGACTGGCATCACGAGATACACCAAATAAGAACACACCAAGAGTTCAAAATTGACAATGCTGAAGTAGTCCCATCATCATCAACTACGAACCAGAGTTGATATCCTATTGGCRCTCGGCGCCCAGACTACAGGTGGCGGATCCTATCTAGCCTGTACTACGAAGCAGAATGATGACATCAACAGCGTTCCCGAAGTACGAGCATATGGCGACCAATGTCGCACGCTTCAGCACCAGGTATGTCTCTCGTAACACTCACAACCCCGATCCAYACCGCACAGATGCCACTAGCACCCCAAGGACCACCCTGCGCTTCACCTAGCATACAGCAGCGCAGCTTGGCTATGGCTGCGTGCTCCCTCCTACTCGCCCGTGAGAGCGTGAGTGCCAGCCAGCCAGCGGATTGCGCAGCAGCGCTCACGCAGCATGCAGCCAGCACCCGRATGCCGAATGARGAGGCAGGCCCTTCCCTATATCSMAGTGGCCTGCCTGCGTCCAGTCCWGGAAACTTCCGGTAGGCCCCGGTAGGCACAGGCCCAGTCACGAAGGGAGCAGGCCTGGGGCCTGAAGTGGTTGCATGCGCCCAACTGCTTTCGGCCTGTGTTTGGCCTGGTACCCGTATCCAGCCTAGGGCCTGCTTCACATTCATTTACACAGGCGGCCCAGGGCCTGGATTCTTTCAACCAACTGGCGCAATGCAACTGTCTGAATTTCCCCGTTGCGGGGTACCCTGAAGAATGAGGCCCGAAGGGCCTGTCGTGCCTGCCTTCACTTAGGGTGGCCGACCTTGTTGCAGATAGGGCCCCGTAGGGGCTAAGCGGGCGTAGCCTCGCATTCCCTCCTCCATATCTTCGTTAGTCCTCTTCGAAGATCAATCTGTAGCCATCTGGCGCTTTCCTTTCAGTGCATCCTTCTCATATCGGGCAACGATTTGAGGAGCGGTCTGCATCTGTTCCTCCCGAGTAAGCCAGCGGTCCTCCTTCGGATCTGTATGATGTCTGAAGTGGACTCAGAACTGCAGCTTTGGTTTTGGAGGACATCCCCTTCCTGGAGGCTTTTGAACTGGCATCTCCCTGTGGTCAACGATATCATCGATGTTGACTTCTCCGTCCATGGTTGGGGGCAGCATGGATCGACGAGAGGGAAACTGATCAGTTTCCTTGGATGCAGCGAGCTTAGAGGCGTGAAAGACTGGGTAAGTTATGAGATGACCAGGGATACGGATGACATATGATGGACCATCAGGATCTGTCCCTACTACGTCTAAAACTTCCCAAGGTCCAAAGTACTGAGGCATGAGTTTGCGGGATATCCCGAACTCCTGTCCCAGTTCTGAAGATTTGACCCAGACTCTGTCCCCTACCTGAAATGTAGAAGGGCGTCGGTGTCTATTCTCAGACTCTATCATTGTTGCCTGTGCCTTCTGCATGTGTTCTACAGCCTCCTGCATCTTCTGTTCATATCTATAGGCGAACTCCAGAGTGCCCGGTGTAGCAGTTGGCTGGTTGTCTGGGAGTAGGAAATCTATGGGCAGTCTAGGTTTGAATGTCAGTTGTAGACTGTTAGGACTCGTCCCGGTAGCACTGTGCACAGCGTTGTTATATAGACTAGCGACTAGAGCAAGCTTTTCGTCCCAGTCTACCTGATTGGGCTTGATGTAGTGCCTCAACAGGTGTTGCACAGCG